TTATCTTCCCAATTTGTTTTTTTTTTTTTTTTTTTTTTTTTTTTTTTTTTGGTTTTTCGAGACAGGGTTTCTCTGTAGCTTTGGAGTCTGTCCTGGAACTAACTCTTTTAGACCAGGTTGGTCTTGACTCACAGAGATCTACCTGCCTCTGCCTCCCAAGTGCTGGGATTAAAGGCTTGCACCACCACCACCCAGCTGAGATTCTATTCTCTTGATGTGACATTTACTTATTCATTTCTTGCTATTCTAAGGATAGTATTTACTTTATTCTGCTTGTTCCTGGTTTAATTTGCTCTTTTTTTGGTTTAACTGAGGGACAAGGCAATTCACTTCAATGCTTTGGAACAAAACAATTATCTTTCTATGAATAACTATTTCCTGCAAGTTTAATTTAAATAATTATACCTCTACCACAAGCCCTGGGAACAATGGGCATTAGAGTTGGGCTCTTCAGTGCCAGACAGCTTAGTAAACAAATTCCAAATTCTCTTATTTAAGAGTATTATCCTGACTACTCTTCCATGTCAGAATTCCAAGGAAATATTCTGTGGTGAATGTAGGGAGGCAGAACACTGTGGATATCAAACCAGGTATGAAACAGGAGGTGTAGCTGAGAGATCCAAGGGATCATAGTGCAGGGACAACAAAAGACACAGCAACTCCTCAGAGAGCTGAGCCATGGAATGGCCACTGAGAATTCTTTTGGGATGAAGAGGAGGGAAGAGGCAATTGAATTCATAACTCAACTCTGCTGCAAGTTGGGTATCTGCTTCTTCCTAAGGCTCCATGAAGACCATTTTCATTCTTGTTTGTTTTGTCTTTGTTATTATCTGTTTGTTTGTATTTTCAGAAAATGGTATAGTTTTATTTTAAACTCAGGTAAAGAAATGTGTTGTTTAGTTTGCAATTCCAGGATACACAAGGAAAGTCAATTCAAGAAGTCAAACATCACACCCACAGTCAAAAGCAGAGAAAAACAAATGTAAACATAATTATCTGTTTGCTGTGTGATGCTCACCTAATTTTCTTCACTCTTCTTACACGGTGTGGAACCCTATGTCTAATGAAATGGTGCCACACACACTCATAGTGGTCTTTACCATCTCAAGTAACATTCAAGGTAATCTGCCACAGATACAGTAACAGGTCAACCATATCTATTCAATTCCTTAGCAGAAATGTTCTTCCTAAGAAAGTCTAGCTTGAGGTAGGTGGACATTTATAACTACCTATTATAGAGAGTGTCACAGGAAACCTGGGCTAGTAATATTCACACATATGATTCTTTTATTTACATATTACTAGTGTTAATATTATAGGCAATGGTTACTAAAGTGTTTGCTTGTTGTTGCTGTTGTTGGTATTGTTACTGCTGTTGTAGTTGCTGTTGTGCTAGGGATTGAACCTAGGAACCCAACTAACCTTACATGTTAGGCAATTACTATAACCAATATACAACCTATTCAGCCTATTTCTATTCCTAAAACTAAATTTTAACCTTCGATTAATTTCTAAATTACAAACACCACTTCCTAAACAAGAGAAAAATTTTAGAAGGCATCTACATTGGGGTGGACATGGGCTGTATAATGGTTGAGGCACCAAATCATGACATCTATTCTTATAGACTCATCTATAGAGTCTTGATCCTTCATCTGCATGTTTTAAGCAAGTGCTTTGATCAGGGTGTTTGCCAATTCACCAGGCTCCATTATGCCACAAATCTGGATTTCTTTCAGGATGCTTTTATATAAACAAGGTACATTGTCAACAATCTTTCTTCCAATGGACCATCTTTGTGTGCATGTACTGTCACAGCTATTGCTGAGTAACTGAGAGACTGAACCTGTCTTGTCCAAGGACAGTGCCCCAGGGATCGTCCTAGATACCAGCAGTGAGAAGCTTCTCTGAATCCCACTAACCTTGTGAGCCTACTTACAGCTTCCACAATGAAGAGTAAATAGTAATCCTTAAACCACAATAGTTCATTCTAGATCAAAATATGGGTGATCAAGGCCCAGGAATACAGATTTGGGTCACCTTAAAGGTCACTGTAGAAGAAACTTTTAAGCAATTTTTTCAGGAACAAAACAAAGAAAGCCATAAGTTAAGACATTTTTGCATTGCATTGGTAGAAACAACAGAGGAGGTGGGTTACAGAACAGCAGAGAACCCTGGTAGAGGTTTCAGATGTCATCTAATGACACCCTCGGTATCTTGGTTGGTGGAATTTGCTAAGTTAACACATTTTAAAGAAAAGCTATTATTTTGCTTGTACTTTCAAATTATTTGAATTCTCACAAAGCTTTTATGTCAAGTACAGAAAAAAGCAATTATGGCTATTAAGAGCGCTGAATATGGCCATATAATTTGGCTCTGGACTTGCAACATGCCAGACTCTCCAATTCATTAAATTCCAAACAGTTAATAATAATTACAGAAGGTACAATTTGAAGGTTCAGCTTCTTTATGGAAACTTTTGTTCATAAAAATAAGTGCTATGTGACACTGAGTATAAATTCTTACCCAATTTTTCTAGAAGGGCAACTTGGTGACCTGTGGTAGAACCATTGGGAAACTAGAAATCTCTTTACTGCATCTTCTTCTTTGAAGTATTGAAGCTGGGATATGGCAGAGATCCAAATTCCTCAGAATTTTGATGGGCTTGGAAGTGCACAAATGGCTCAGGTAAAGGTCTCTGATGATAAACTCTTTGTGCCCTCTCTGTTCCTCCTACCACTTGATTTCCAGAACTGAAGACATCAGATACTGCTGTAATCCTTTTAGCTTTGCTCCTTGGATCTAAGCTGCTACTGGTTATTGGTGCCTCTGCCATCTACATGCACAAGAAGCAGAAGGCCTAAGTGTAAGTTAGGAGGAATGGAGTGGGTATTAGTTACTATCTGTTGACGTGACAACATAGTACGATGAAAATAATTTATAGAAAAAAGGGTAATATGATCTTACTGTTACAGCAGCATATGAGTCCATCAAGTCTGAGAAGCATGGAAGGCAGATCAGGGACCTAAGAGTTCACATCCTCAGTGGAGAGCATAAAACATATAGAATAAACTGGAAGTATGACAAGTTTTTTTTAATATCAAAGCTCACCTCCTTGGTGTACTTTTCTGGAAGGGCTGTACTACCTAAACCTCACCAAAAAGTAACACCCACTGGAAAACAAGTATTAAGATATCCTAGAATATAGAGAATATTTCTTTTTTTTTTTTGAGGGAAAGAAAATTTTAATAACATACTTACTAACAGTAAATTTTAAGGTCCCCCTAAATCATATTCCAAGAGTTTTTTTACATGAACTCTTTTAATTTGTATCATTCTACCATTTTCCCTACATGGTAACCTTGGAGTTATCTGTTCCTTTACTATCTATCTCAGGCTCATAGGCACTTGACTTTGAAATATTTTTTATATTTTATTGCTTTTAATTGATATATGTATTTCCCACTCCCCTTCCTTCATCCTTTCTTCCCTTTCACTCTCACCCTCTCCCCCCACCCATGCTCCCAGTTGACTCAGGAAATCTTGTCTTTTTCTCCTTTCTAGGCAGATCCATGTATTTCTCTCTTAGAGTTTTTTTTGTTGTCTAGGTTCACTGAGGTTGTAGACTGTAGGCTGGTTATTCTTTGCTTTATGTCTAAAAGCCACTTATGAGTGAGTACATATATTTGTCTTTCTGGGTGTAGATTATCTCACTCAGTATGATTTTTTTTAATTCCATCCATTTGTCTGCAAATTTCAAGATGTCATTTTTTTAACCACTGAGTAGTACTCCATTGTGTAAATGTACTACATTTTCCTTATCCATTCTTCAGTTGAGAAGCATCAAGATTGTTTCCAGGTATGGCTATTACAAATAATATTACAAATCATGCAATGAACATCGTTAAGCAAATGTGGTATGATTGAGCATCCTTTGGGCATATGCCTAAGAGTGGTATTTCTGGGTCTTGAAATAGAATAATTACTAATTTTCTGAGAGATTGCCATACTGATTTCCAAAGCAATTTTACAAGCTTGCACTCCCACCAGCAATGGAGGAGTATTGCCCTTACTCCACATCCTCTCCAGCACAAGTTGTTATCAGTCATTTTGATCTTGGCCATTCTGACAGGTGTAAGATGGAATATCAGAGTTGTTTTGATTTGTATTTCGCTGACTGCTAAGGATATTGAGCATTTCCTTAAGTGGCTTTTGGCTTTTTGAAATTCCTCTGTTAAGAGTTCTCTATTTAGGTATGCACTCTATCTTTTTAAATTTGATTTTTTTGTTCTTTTAATATCTAGTTTCTTGAGTTCTTTGTGTGTTTTGCAGATCAGTGCTCCATCAGATGTGAGGTTGGAAAAGATCCTTTCCCATTCGTAGGCGGCCAGTTCTTCTTATGTCCTTTGCAGTACAGAAGCTTCTCAATTTCAAGAGGTCTCATTAATTAATTGTTTCTCTCAGTGTCTGTGCTACTGGAGTTATATTTACGAAGTGGTCTCCTGTGTCTATGTGTTCCAGGTTACTCCCGACTTTCTCTTCTGTGAGGTTCATTGTGTCTGACTTTATGTTGAGGTCTTTGATCCATTTGGACTTGAGTTTTGTGCATTTTCATTCTTCTACATGTCACTATCCAGTCATGCCAGCATCATTTGTTGAAGATACTTTCTTCTTTTCATTTTATAATTTTAGCTTCTTTGTCAAAAAATCAAGTGTTTATAGGTGCGTAGATTGATATCTGGGCCTTCAATTTGATTCCAATGGTACTCCTGTCTGTTTTTATACCAATAACAAGCTGTTTTCATTACTGTAGCTCTATACTAAAGTTTGAAGTCAAGGATGATTGATGCCTCCAGAAGTTCCTTTATTATACCAGATTGTTTTGGCTATTCTGAGTGTTTTGTTTTCCATATGAAGTAGAATATTGTTTTTGAGGTCTGTGTAGAATTTTGTGGAATTTTGATGGGCATTGCATTGAATCTGTAGATTGCTTTTGGTAAGATTGCCATTTTTACTATGTTAATCCTACCTATCCAAGAGCATGGGAGATTTTTTCATTTTCTGATGTCTTCTACAACAAAGATTTAAAGTTCTTTTCATACAGGTCTTTCACTTGTTTTGTTACTTTATGTTATTTGTGGCTATTGTAAAAGGTGATGTTTCCCTGATTTCTTTCTCAGACAACTTATCATCTGTGTATAGGAGGGCTATTGATTTTTTTGAGTTAATCTTATATCCTGACATACTACTAAAGGTGTTTATCCATTGTAGGATTTCCTTGGTGGTATTTTTGGGGTCACTTATGTGTACTATCATATCATCAGCAAACAGTGAAAGTTTGACTTCTTATCCAATTTGCATTCCCTTTATCTCCATTTTTGCCTTATTGTTCTAGCTAGAACTTCAAGTACTATCTTAAGGAGATATGGAGAGAGTAGACAGCCTTATCTTGCTCCTGATTTCAGTAGGATCACTTTGAGTTTTCCTCCATTCAGTTTGAAGTTAGCTGTTAATTTTTTGTATATTGCCTTTCTTATGTTCAGGTATGTTCCTTGTATCCCAGATCTTTCCAAGACCTTTATCATAAAGGGGTGTTGAATTTTGTCAATGGCATTTTCAACATCAAATGAGATGATCATATGTTTTTTTTCTTTCATTTTGTTTGTTTATTTATTTATTTTTGGGATTTTCAAGAAAAGGTTTCTCTGTAGCTTTGGAGCTTGTCCTGACACTCACTCTGTAGACCAGGCTGGCCTTAAACTCACAGAGATCTGCCTGCCTCTCAATTTGTTTATATGGTGGGTTATATTGAGGGATTTTCATTTGTTGAACCATCCCTGCATCTCTGGGTTGAAACCTACTTGGTCATGGTGGATAATTTTTTTGATATGTTCTCATATTCGATTTGCCAGTATTTTATTGAGTATTTTTGCAACAATGTTCATGAGGGAGATTGGTCTGTAATTTTCTTTCTTAGTTATGTCTTTATGTGGTTTGGGTATCAGAATAACTGTCACCTTGTAAAAAGAGTTTTGCAATGTTCCTTCTATTTCTATTGTTTGGAAAATTTAAGGAGTATTGGTATCAGTTCTTCTTTGAAAATCTGGTAGAATTTTTTCACTGAACTCATCTGGTCCTGAGCTTTTTTTGTTTGGGAGATTTTTGATAACTGTTTCTTTTTTCCTAGTGGTTATAGGTCTATTTAGTTTGTGCAACTGGTCTTGATTTAGTTTTGGTATGTGATATTTATCAAAAAAAATTCCATTTCCTCTAAGTTTTCCAATTTTGTGGAGTACAGGTTCTTGAAGTATGACCTGATGATTCTCTGGATTTCCTCTATGCTTGTTATTATGTTCCCCTTTTCATTTCTAATTTTGTTAAATCTCTGCCTTTTCATTAGTTTGGATAAAGCTTTGTCTCTTATGTTGATTTTCTTGAAGAACCAGTTCTTTGACCCATTGACTATTTGTATTGTTTTTGTTGTTTCTATTTTGTTGATTTCTGCTCTGTTTGATTATTTCCTGTCATCTAGCCATTCTGGGTGAATTTGCTTCTTTTTGTTCTAGGGCTTTCAGATGTTCTGTTAATTCACTAGTGTGGGATTTTTCCAGCTTCTTTAGGTAGACATTTATTGCGATGAATTCTCCTCTTAGCACTGCTTTCACTGTGTCACATAAGTTTGGATATATTGTACAGTCATTTTCATTGAATTTTAGAAAGTCTTTAATTTCTTCCTTTATTTCTTTCTTGATCCAGTGGTGATTCAGTTGAGTATTGTTAAGTTTCCATGAGTTTGTGTGCTTTCTGCAATTAGTATTTTTGTTGAATTCCAACTTTAAGCCATTATGGCCCAATAAGACACCATGGGTTATTTCTTTTTTTCTTTTTTGTATCTGTTGAGATTTGCTTTGTTACTGAGAATGTGGCCAATTTTAGAGAAAAATACATGAGATGCTGAAAAGAAGGTATATTCTTTTATGTTTGGGTGAAATGTTCTATAGATGTCTATTAAGCCCATTTGAGTAACGACATATGTTAGATCCTTTATTTCTCTGTCAAATTTCTGTCTAGCAGACCTGTCCAGTGGTGAGAGTGGTATATTGAAGTCTCCCACTTTTAGTGTGTGGAGTTTGATGTGTGATTTAAGCATTAGTAATGTTCCTTTTAAAAATAAGGATACCCTTGTATTTGGGGCATAACTGTTCAGAATTGAAACTACATCTTGATGGATTTTTTTCCTGTGTTGTATATGAAAAGACCTTCTTCATCTCATTTGACTAGTTTTAGTTTGAAATCTATTTTGTTAGATATTAGGATAGCTACAACAGCTTCTTTCTTAGGTCCGTTTGTTTGGAAAATCTTTTCTCAACCCTTTACTCTGAGGTAACGTCTGTCTTTGTAGTTGACGCATGTTTCTTATATGCAGCAGAAGGATGGATTCTATTTTTGTATCTAATCTGGTAGTATGTATCCTTTTATAGTTAATTGAGTCCATTAAAATTAAGGGATATCAATGACCAGGGATTTGCTGGTGTGAGGTTATCTAGTGCAGGTGTTTTGTGGTGTAGATAACTTCCTTGGATTGGAGTTTCCTTTTAGTACTGTCTGTAGGTTGGATTTGTGGATAGATATTGCTTAATCTGATTTTGTGGTGGAATATCTTGTTTTCTCTGTCTATGTTGATTAAAATTTTGCTGGATATAGTAGTCTGGACTGGCACCCATGGTCTCTTAGTGTCTGCATAAGCCTGACTAGGACCTTCTGGCTCTTACTGTTTCTACCGAGCAGTTGGGTGTAATTCTCATAGGTCTGCCTTTATATGTTACTTGGTTTTTTTCCTTTGCAGCTCTTAATATTCTTTCTT